AGTGTAATAGCTCATTACAGCTCTCAGGCTCATCTTTCAGTTTAATTTGGGTCTGTACAAAGTCATTTTGAAGCTGCTGGATTTGTCACAGTCAGATGCATCATGCTTGGAAGATCCTGAACTGGTTTCTGAAGTGAAGCCAATTTTGAAACCTTTTTAAATTTCTGTTTCATTTCTTTGGCCTAGCTACTTGACATTGCATTCATCAGTAAAGCTTGATTTTTACTCTTTTTTCCTGTCAGCTTCAGTAGTTTGGTTGATGATGAGTACAAGGATATTATCAGGGTATGTTGAATCAAGCTAACTTCGCTAATCTGTTCCAGATTCAAAATAGAGGTAAAACATCTGCTTCGGTTGTTCAGCGGAGCTCCATGCCAACTGTAGCATGCCTAATGCAAAGAAAGAGATGAAATGCTGTTATGGACTGATCTGCATGTTCACACGTAGTTACTCTGCTATTAATGGAAATAACACTGTCATCAGCCTCAGTAGTTAAACATTTTTAATCTGAATTTTATACTAGCTATGCAGAAGGCAAATGCCAGAGACTAAAATCTGCAAAGGATTTTACTATTTTATGAAAACAGTAATAGGCCAGGTTGGATGGGGCTTTGAGCAACCTGGTCTAGTGGAAGGTGGCTCTGCCCATGGCAGGGGGCTTGGAACCAGATGACCTTTAAAGGTCCTTTCCAACCCAAACCGTTCTATGATTCTATGATAACTGACCACAATGGTCTTCAAAAGCACTGTGAGCTCCATGACCCTCTAAGAGAAATCAGGAAACATAAACATTAGTGTTTAATGTCTTTTAAAGTATATTTGACACCTGCTACATATAAGAAAGTAAGTTGGGAGATTTTCTGAGTTTTTCTGGAGCTGGCAGGAGGACAGCTGTTGGGATGGCACTCGTTCACCAGCAGAATGAGCTGCATTGCAGTACCTAGGAGACAAGCGGTGGGGAGGCTTTGTGTGTGATGTGCAACGCAAGAGGAAGTTACTTGAACCTGAGCAAGATCCACCTGTAATATAATGGTAAGACTGAGCAAGTTGGATGTTTTGAATTTTGCGCAAGTCCCTAAAATGTCTTGTCCCTCCCTTATGTCACTTTCATGACCTCAGAGGTTTGCTGTTGTCTGGGGCTTAGTTTAGACACCAGTGACAGCAGGACCTTGGAAGTGTTGCAGATCATTGCTAAGAGGAAGGTGAGATTCAGGAACATGTGAGATTGTGACTGCAAAATATATCTGTCCTTAACGGAAACTCGGTGTGTGAACTCACGTGAAGAAAACCATAGCTGTAATTAGCTTCTGACGAGTGAATGAAACAGGGTCTGAAAGTTCTGCTGGGGTCATGCCATGCGTTAGTGTGTTTCTACCCAAAGGCACTAGACTTGCCTTGAACTTTTGGAAATATATATATTTTTATTGATTTCTACAGAAATTTCTCTAGCACCATGTGCCACACTATTTAAGTAATTGCCCCTTTTATGGTCTAATACCTAGCTGAAATGCTAGAAAATGCATGTTCTCCACTTTTTATTGGAAATGCAGTCTACTGTAGCTTATCCTTTTTGCCTTAAGCTTTGTATTTATATAAGTGTGGTGTGAATTTTGTTTGGGCTCTTTTGTTTTCCTGTGTTCAATCCCTTGCCTACTGAAGCCTGCAGAAAAGAATCCCTTTGACTTTCAGTGATCGTTGGACTAGAGCTGTTTTTGAAACGATGGTCTTCTGCAGTTCACTGTTTGTAGCTCAGCCGAATTGGTAACCAACGTCCTGGTTTGTGCTGCCTTTAATGGAACAGAAATGCATCCTCCTTGTGTGCAGCCATTCAAGCTCTGTATGTCTCGGACGTAGAAAACAGATGATTTCTTTTAGTAACAACCTTTTACATATTGCAAATTGTTCCCTTTAAATTTTCTTCTGTGTAGGCTGAATAGCTCCGATCTGTTTAGATTTTCCCTGTAAATCATGTTTTAGAGCTCTGTTTTGGTCTTCAAGTCAAGTGGTGCCCCAAACTAAACGTCTCACTCCAGTCACAGCCTAAGCAGTACTGAGCAGCGTGGAAGGACTACTGTGTGTTTTGCAAGCCGTATTCCTATTTTAAGGTCTCTTCTTCTTTCTTGACATTGTTCAGTTACGTTCAGTTAGTAAACTGCAGTCCCAAATTCTTTGTTGTACAAAACTGCCACGTAACAACTCTGGATTTCTTGCCAACATGCGTGCTGTGTTCTCCTCTATACTGAACAGTGTCCTTGTCTCCCTCCAGCCCAGTTGTTTGTATAATTTGTCGGGGTGGTTGTAAATTCTGATCCTGCCCTCTAATGTCCTTGTAGTTGCTTGTAGTTCAGAAGTATCTGCAAATTTATTAGGGTGCTCTGTTTCATAGCTGCCTTCTTTGTGTGTACATTAATATAAAACAGACCCTGTTAACCAGCAGAAGGTCCTAATCTTACCGAGTATAGATCTCGCAGGATTAGATGCCGCTTTATAGTTCTCTCAATCAGGATTAATTTTCTAAAACTGAAAGGATTTTTATTAAAGTGTATGATGAGTATCAACGCGTGCCACGTATATCAGATATAGCACTTAATTACAGGACAGATAGAGGTTCCGTGGACTATTGCTCTGTACCGTTGAATGTTCAGGATGCGAGACGAAAGGCAGGTCTTGCTGCTGCACTGAAGGAGGAATGTGAAAAGGTTGCTTAAACCAGCTGCAGCGTATGTAGAGGTCCTTGCTCATGCTTACCTCGCTAAGGAAGAGAGCGGTAAGTCATGGTTTCATAAGTGATAAACTGAAGGAAGATAAACTTGCAACATTTCCGTTTCTCTCCTTTTTTTTTTTTTCTTTTTTTTCCTACTTGGTTGCCATTGCTGCTGGTACAGTCGGGTGAAGGCAGGATGTCAGCAGTCTCTGGAGGGTAAGGGGCCACTGAACGGAGGACACCTGCCAGTTTAGGTGGACAGCTGCAGCCAGCACGAGCCTGTTTGCTCCCCAGAGCATTCCCCACTGCGTACAGAATTGGTTTTAATCATCTTTTTTTTTAACTTGTGGAATTCAACACCTATGCAATTGGTCAAAAAAAAATAAAAAATTGCTGGTGTGGTTGAAATGTGTTTGAAGACAAGCGAGCAGGAAATGAAGCTTTTGGTAGGGCTGATGTTTTTCAAGTGAGCTTCTCCTCTAACTGCTTTATTCTTAAATCTCTAGGAAGGAGCAAACCCGTCACCAGGGTCGCTGTTGCTCTGCCCTGCTGCTAGCCATTTTATTTCTCTCGAGGTTTGTAACCTCATGCTGCCTGGCCGCCTCTCAGCCATGCTTCTGGCGGGGAGAAAGCGCAGGGCTCTTCTGAAAGCAGGTGGTGTAGTGTGGCACAGTGCCTCTTGCTTGGGAGTTCACTTAAACTGATTTACACCAG